CAGATATAAAAGCCGTAAGTGGTTTATAAAAAACGGAAGAAAAAGAAAAATTGGAAACTGAAAAAAAAATTGTAAAAATTGTGAAAAATGGAAAAAAATGGTTAAAAAATGAAAAATCTTGTTCTACGATCGAATATATAACGATAAGGATCGAAAAATGTATACGTGTATATACGCACTGGTGATTTTAATAATTACATTATGTATATGGTTAGAATGCGACAGAATTTGAAACAGGAAATCTACGATCTGTACTTTATGACTCTAAAGGTTTGACATTTACTTGTTATACTGTATTAACCATTTCATTATAGTTTAAGTCGCGGCAAATGAAAATTGTCTTGTCTATATATGAAAAGGTCAGCACCATTTACATTTACAAATTAAATTACAGTACAATATGCATTTCTAATTAAATTCTTTGGATTTTTGTTTTTGTTCGGGTCACTGCGCTTTTCCATATTATATATGTATTACATGTGTTCGGTAAAATGACAGTTACAATTATTTTCTCCTGAATTTACCAATAGATTTGAATTTGAGAAATTTTTATTTTCATTTTTCGTTATATTTTGAGGTTAGAAATATTCGTATTATTTTGAAAAAAAATATATTTTATTTGTGGATGCTCTTAACATTTTTTAAAAATTATTTTGAGGTTAGAATTTAAAAATTTAGTTATTTTGAGGTTAGAATTTAAAAATTTAGTTATTTTTAGGTTAGAATTTAAAAATTTAGTTTTTTTGAGGTTAGAATTTAAAAATTTAGTTATTTTTAGGTTAGAATTTAAAAATTTAGTTTTTTTGAGGTTAGAATTTAAAAATTTAGTTATTTTTAGGTTAGGATTTCGTAATTTAAGAATTTAGTAATTTCTAGGTTAGGATTTCGTTTATTTACAGAAAATTTAATTTAAATTCGGAAAATTTCATAATTTTTAAGATTTTTGAATTACGAGGTCAGAATTTAAGAATTTAGTCATTTTTAGGTTAGGATTTCGTAATGTAAGAATTTAGTCATTTCTTGGTTAGGATTTCGTTTTATTTGCAGAAAATGCAATTTAAATTTGGAAAATTTTATAATTTTTAAGATTTTTGAATTATTTGGAAGTTAGAATTTAAAAATTTAGTAACTTTTAGGTTAGGATTTCGTATTATTTACAGAAAATATAAATTTACAACTGGAAGATTTTAAAATATATTTACAAATTTTAAATCACTTTAACTTTAGAATTTAAGAATTTATTAATTTTTAGGTTAGGAATTCGTATTATTATTCATAAAAAATATAAATTATAATTCAAAAATATAAAAAAAATTAATATTTTTGAATTATTTTGAGGTTAAAATTTGAGAATTTAGTCAATTTTAGGTTAGGATTTCGTAATTTAAGGATATAGTAAGATCCTAGGTTAGAATTTTTTCTTCATAAAGAAAAAAAAAATTTTTTAAAATAAAAAAAAAGTTTAATTTTAAAAAAAATTTTTTTTTTTAAATTTTATAATTTTTAAGATTTTTGAATTATTTTGAGGATATAATTTAAAAATTCAGTATATTTTAGGTTAGGATTTTGTATTATTTATAGAAAATATAATAAACAATTGAAAAATTTAAAAAAATTTAAGATTTTTGAATTATTTTGAGGTTAGAATTAAAAATTTTTGAGGTTAGAATCACAAGTCTTATGAGGTTATGGGAATAAAAAAGAAAAGTTTTAGAATAAGACGAAAACTAGAATTTGTTCCACTATTTTAAGGAAAATCAACTTTCTAGGAAATGAAATTGTTCATTAGATTATCCAACTAAAGAAATTTTTTTTTTATAAATCCTTAAGTTTCTATGCAGACATAAGAGGCTGATAAACCAATAATAATAATAATTTTTAAATAAAAATTTTTTTTTAATTAAAAATTTTTAATTCTTTGTAAAAATTTGAAAATTTTTAGATTTTTTTGAATCTAAATTTTAAAAGCTTTTTGGGATTAAATTTTTTATTTTGTACTATTTTTAAAATTTGGGATTCGTTAGGATTCATAATTTAGGATTTTATGCAATTTAAAATTTGGAATTTTTTATAATTGAGAATTTTGAATTTTTTACTACTAAAAATTTTTAATTCCTACTACTTTACAGAATTTAAAATTTGGAATTTTTTTAAAATTCAGAATTTGGGATTTTTTTTAAATTCAAAATTAGAGATTTAATTTTATTGTATTAAAAATTTTAGATCCATATGATTTAAAATTCAGGATTCTCTACTACACAAAATTTCAAATTTTTGGATTCGAAATTTTTGATTGCTAACAATTCAAAATAGAGGATTTTGTAAAATTAAAATTTCGAAATTTTTACGATTCAAAATTCAGGATTTTTTATAAATCCGAACTTCTTACTATTGAAAACTTGAGATTTCTAATAGGATTCAAAATTTAGGTTTTTTTACAATTCAGAAAAAATTATTATTAATTAGGATTCCAAATTTTTTAGGATTCAAAATTTTGGATTTTTTATAATTTAAAAAGAATTATAATCAATTAATTTTATCAAAATAAGAATTTTTCAGTTTTTAGGATTTAAAATTTTTGATTCATTACACAAAATTTAGGATTTTTTCAAAATTCATTACAACTCAAAACTTCGGATTTTTTATTATTCAAAATTTTGAATTTTTTATGAATTAAAATTTGGGTTTCCTAACTCTTTAAGATTTAGAATTAAGGGTTTTTTATAATTTAGAATTTTAAACTTTTTGCAATTGAATATTTGGAATTCCCAATTTTATATAATTAAAAATTTAGGATTTTGTATAATTCAGAAAGAATTATTATTAATTAATTGATTATATAAAAAAAATAATAATTTTTGAATATTTAAAATTCTAAATTTAAGATTATGTACAATTCCAAATTGGGATTTCTAATTTTTTAAGATTCAAAATTTAGAATTTTTTACAATTTATAATATTTGAACTTTTTACGATTGAAAATTTGGGATTCCTAATTCTTTAGGATTCAAAATTTAGGATTTTTTCTATAATTTTTGATTAGTTACTAATCAAAAATAAAATTTTGGATTTTTTACAATTCCAATTTTAAAGATTCTATACAATTAAAAATTTCGGATTTATTACGATTCAAAGTTTAGGATTTTTTGATAAATACTGAATTTTGAACTTTTTATGAATTAAAATTTGAGATTCCTAATTTTTTAGTGTTCAAAATTTACGACTTTTTTAATAATTCAGAATTTTGAATTTTTTATGAATAAAAATTTGGGATTCATAATTATTTAGGATTCAAAGTTTAGAATTTTTTTTATGATTCAAAAAGAATTTTCACTTATTATTATTATTATTATTTATATCAAAATAAGAATTTTTGACCCTTTAGAATTTTCAATTTTTTACGACTAAAAATTTCGATTTTATTATAATTTCAAAATTTCGGATTTATTCCGATTAAAAATTTAGTATTTTTTATAAATACAGATTTTTGAACTTTTTATGAATTAAAATTTGAGATTCCTAATTCTTTAGAATTCAAAATTTTCGATTTTTAATTATTCAGAATTTTGAATTTTTTATGAATAAAAATTTGGGTTTCATAATTATTTAGGATTCAAAATTCAGGATTTTTGTATAATTCAGAAAGAATTATTATTAGTTAATTTTATTAATAAAGAAATATTTTTTTTTACCTTGTTTGAGTCAAAATTTAAGATTCTATACGCAATTCAAAATTTTGGATTTGTCTCGATTCAAAAACGTATTTTTTTACGATTCAAAATTTGTGTAAAAAATCCTTTTTTTGTGTTTGGAAAATTTAAAATTCATTCAGTCAAGAATTTTTTGCTTAAAATTGGAATCAATTTCAAAATTTTAAAATGTAAATATATTTTGGAAATTTTAATGCGAAAATTTCCAAAATATTTTCTTTTTAGAACATTTTCCATTAAAATTTTGGCAAATATAATTTTTGAAATTAAAAATAGACTCATTTCCGAAATATTTTCTTTTCAAAACAATTTTAAAATTTTGACAATTCTTTAGAATCCAAAAATTGCACCTAATTTTGTCTTCTGTCATGTTCCCGTACGTCATTGAAATCGAAAAAAGCAAAAAACAAAGAAAAAAATGGATTAAATTTCTTTTCTCAAAAAATTGCACCTAATTTTGTTTTCGAAATCAAAAAAAGCAAAAAAAATGGTTTAATTTTTTTCCCTCCAAAAATTGCACCTAATTTTGTCTTCTGTCATTTTCCCTGTCATTGAAATCGAAAAAAGCAAACAAGAAGAAAAAAAAATGATTTAATTTTCTTTTCTCCAAAAATTGCACCTAATTTTGTTTTCGAAATCAAAAAAAGCAAAAAAAAAAATGGTTTAATTTTTTTCCCTCCAAAAATTGCACCTAATTTTGTCTTCTGTCATTTTCCCTGTCATTGAAATCGAAAAAAGCAAAAAAGAAGAAAAAAAATGATTTAATTTTTTTCCCTCCAAAAATTGCACCTAATTTTGTCTTCTGTCATTTTCCCTGTCATTGAAATCGAAAAAAGCAAAAAAGAAGAAAAAAAAATGATTTAATTTTCTTTTCTCCAAAAATTGCACCTAATTTTGTTTTCGAAATCAAAAAAAGCAAAAAAAAAAAAAAATGGTTTAATTTTTTTCCCTCCAAAAATATTGCACCTAATTTTGTCTTCTGTCATTTTCCCCAACGTCATTTGAAATCGAAAAAACCCCAAAAAAAGAAGAAAAAAAATGTTTTAATTTTTTTTTTCCGCACCAACAAAGTAAAACCCTCTGGGTGGTTGCAATTTTTTTTTCGTCCATTTCGTTGGAGGCCACAGAGGTAAGGGGATAGACACACGATGATTTGTGCACCCGGTGAGAAATATTGGAATCCCGAGGTGGTAAATGGCGAATCGCAGACGACGATATATACACAACAGTAGGAATAGCCGACGGCCGCTGGCCGGCGCGGTGACCGCACGCGAGTCAGTAAGTCAGTTCAGTCGTTCGCTCGCTTCAGGCGCACTCGCATCCCAAGCTTTTGCCCGGTTACATTCGCTTTACCTTCCACACTCATTTTCTCTCTCTCTCTCTCTCTCTCTCTTAATTTCTCTCATTACCTCTTTGCCTCTCTCTCTCTTTTTTTCTCTCCCTCTCTCTCTCTCTCGGGCACACACAAAATCCATTGACGGTGAAGTGTCGTGCGTCGCTCCATTCCGTGTCAGATGATCAAGGTACCAGTGCCAAAAATTGTCGGACCATCGAGTCGACGACAATTTAGTCCAACACGTCGTTAATTATTTATTTATTATTATTTGTGTGCGTATTTTTTCGAAAGGAGGGTTTTCTGTTTGATTTCAGTTTTTTTTTCTTTTTAATTGTTAATTTAATATCTCTAGTGGTTCTCCCACTTTTTGGCTCTCTTTTTCTGTATTTTTTTTTTGAATAAAATGATGCACGGATATTTTTGTGCCGAGGCAGAATATCATCGTGGCATTCTCGTGCAGCCTCTCGATACACCCACAACTCGACGGAGACACATTGAAAATGTTTTATGATAAACAGAAATTTTTGACATGAATGATTTTAAGTTGGTTTTTTTTTCTTTCTTTTCGACTGGAGAAAGATATTTGGTGCGGATTAAGATTGGAATTGTTTTGCATCATGAAGAATCTTTTTTTAAGTTGAGAAAAGAATTTTGATTTTGAAGTAGAAACAAAATTTTGGTGCAGGATTAGCGGAAGAATGTACTGCAGCATCTGAGGAAAAATTGGGAGCAATTTGGTGCAGCATTTGGATGAACAAATTGGTGTAGCATTTGATAAAAAATTTTGTGCTGCATTTGACAAACATTTTGGTGTAGCATTAGGAGAAATATTTTTTTAAGCATCTGCTGAAGAATTGGGAACAATTTGGTGCTCCATTTGATGAACAATTTGGTGTTGTATTTGATAAAAAATGTTGTGTAGCATTGGCAAAATAATGTGCTAAAGAATTAGGAACAATTTGGTGCTTCATTTGATGAACAATTTGGTGCTGTATTTGATAAACAATTTGGTGCTGCATTTGATAAACATTTTTGTGAAGCATTAGCAAAAATATTTACTGCAGCATCTGCAAAGGATTAGCAATAATCGGTGCAGTATTTGATAGATTTTTTGGTGCTGTATTTTATAAAAAATTTAATGCAGCATTTGATAAATAATTTGGTTTAGCGTCAACAACAGAATTTGCTGCAGAATCTGCTAAAGAATTAGGAACAATTAGGTGCAGCATTTGATAAACAATTTTGTGTTGCATTTGATAAAAAATGTTGTGCAGAATTAGCAGTAAAATAAACTGCAACATCTGCTAAAGAATTAGGAACAATTTGGTGCTTCATTTGATGAACAATTTGGTGTTGTATTTGATAAACAATTTGGTGTTGTATTTGATAAACAATTTGATGCATCATTTGATAAACAATTTGATGCATCATTTGATAAAGAATTTTGTGCTGTGTTTGATAAAAACTTTGGTGCAGCATCAGTAGAAATATTTACTGCAGCATCTGCAAAGGATTAGGTACAGTTTGGTGCAGCATTTGATAAAAATTTTGGTGCAGCATTAGCAGAAATATTTACTACAGAGTTTGCCTAAGTATTAGGAATAATTGGTACAGCATTTGATAAACAATTTGGTGCAGCATTTGATAAAAATTTTGGTGCAGCATTAGCAGAAATATTTACTACAGAGTTTGCCTAAGTATTAGGAATAATTGGTACAGCATTTGATAAACAATTTGGTGCAGCATTTAATAAGATTTTTGGTTCTGTATTTGATAAACTTTTTGGTTCTGTATTTGATAAACTTTTTGGTTGTGTATTTAATAAACTTTTTGGTGTTGTATTTGATAAACATTTTGGTGCTGTATTTGATAAACTTTTTGGTTCTGTATGTGATAAATATTTTGGTGCTGCATTTGATAAACATTTTGGTTTAGCTGTTGATAAACAATTTGGTGCTGCTCTTGATAAAAAATGCAGTGCAACACTTGCTGAAAAATTCGGAAAATTTTGTTGTAGAATCTGCTGAAGAATTAGGAACAATTTTGATGCAGCGTCAGAGGATCAATTTTGTGCAGCATCAGCAGAAAGTTTTTTTGCAGCGTCTGCGGAAGAAGTAGGAAGAATTTAGTGCAGTAACCGGATAGCAATTTAATGCTGCATTGGACAAACTATTTGGATAAATTAGTGCAGCATAAGTGGAATAATTTTGTGCAACATTAGGAGAAGAATTTGGTGGAGCACTAGTGAAAAAATTCAGTGCATTTTATTTGCTGCAGCATTTCTTCAAGTGTTTGCAACAGAATTCACTGTTTAATTTGCTGAAGAATTAGGAACATTATTTGGAGTATTTTCTGCAGTATTTCTAGGACTATTTAGTGCAGTATTTCTTGGAGTATTTAGTGCAGTATTTTTTGAGGTATTTGCTGCAGTATTTGTAATAGTATTCGCTGCACTTTTTGGAATAGTATTTGCTGCACTTTTTGGAATAGTATTTGCTGCACTTTTTGGAATAGTATTTGCTGCACTTTTTGGAATAGTATTTGCTGCACTTTTTGGAATAGTATTTGCTGCAGCATTTGTTCGAATATTTGGTACAGTATTTGCAACTGCATTTATTAGAGTATTAGCTGAAGAGTTAGTGATTTTTATTGAAGAATTTGATGCAGCATTTATTGGAATATTTGATGTGGTATATGGTGCAGCATTTATTATAGTATTTGCAACAGAATTCACTGGAAAATTTATACTAGAAAATTAAAGAAACAAATAGTAACATTTCTTGGACTGTTTGCAACAGAATTCGTTGGAATATTTGCAGATTAACTAGTAAAGGAATTAGTAAAAGAATTAGTAAAGGAATTAATAAAGGAATTAGTAAAGGTATTAGTAAAGGAATTAGTAAAGGTATTAGTAAAGGAATTAATAAAGGTATTAGTAAAGGAATTAATAAAGGAATTGGTAAAGAAATTAGTAAAAATTATTGGATTATTTGCTACAGTATTTTTTGGAGTATTTCCTGAAGCAAAAAGTGAAATTATTTAGCAACATTTAGTGAAGAATTTGGAGAAGGATTTGTTGTAATATTTGGTGCATTATTCGCTGCAGCATTTATTGGAGTATTTGTAGCAGAATTAATTGCAGTATTTGCTGTAGTAATAGCAACATTTATTGGATTATTTGGTGCACTATTTGTTAGAATATTTAGTGCAGAATTTGTTGAATATTTGGTACAGTATTCGATGCAGTATTTTCTGTAACATTTCTTGTAGTAATCGTTGTAGTATTTTGTGGAACATTTTATGCACTATTTGTTGTATTATATGATGCATCATTTGTTGTAGCTTTTGTTGGAATATTTGGTGCAGTATACGCTGCAATATTTGTTGGAGAATTTAGCGCAACTAATAAACAATTTCGTGCAGCAGTTGTTGAAGAATTTAGTGCAGAATTTATTGGGGGATTTAATGCAGAATTTGTTGGAGTGTTTGCTGGAACATTAATTGAAGAATTTGCAGCCGCTTTTCTTGAAAAGTTTTAATAGCTACAGCATTTGTTGAAAAATTCTATCAACATTTGCTAGATTATTTGTGCAGCATTTTTGAAGAATTTGATACAGTATTTGTTGGAGTATTTACTACAGTATTTGTTGGAGCATTTGCTACAGTATTTATTGGAGTATTTGGTTCATCTGACTGACAATTTCGTTTAGTATTTGTTGGAGGATTTAGTGAAGAGCATTTAGTGATTTGTTGGACTGTTAGCTGAAGCACTAGTTGAAGGATTGTTAGCAGTATTTGTTGCAGCATTTGTTGGAGTATTTGTTGGAGTATTAGCTGCAGTATTTGTTGGGGTATTTGCTGCAGCATTTGTCTTAGTATTTGCTAAACTATTCTCTAGAGTATTTCCTTAAACATTTGTCAGAATATTTGCTACAGTATTTGTTGGAGAATTTCCTGCAGCACTTGTTGGAGAATTCGGTGCAACATCTAGTGGCAAATCCGTTGCAGCATCTTTTGGAGAATTCGATTACTAATCCAAAGAGGAATAGTAGGAAGAAGTACAGCATCTTCGAACTGAATTCACACAACTTTTAAGTATTTTTCGCTAATTAGAAAAAGAGGAAGAAGAACGAATAAAAGTACAGCATCTTCTCAAGCTTTCTCCCCTGTTTGATGATAATTTTGGTTTTCGATTATTAACCAAAAAGAAGAAGGAAAAAAAGAAGAGCATCAAGAAGAAGAATAAGAAGAAGAGCAATAAGAAGAAGAAGAAAAAGAAGAAAAAAGAAGAGCAAGAAGAAGTGGAAAAATCTAGAAATAGCAAAAATACCAGTACATCAAGAAAAAAATTGTAACAAGAGACGGAAGTGTTTGTGCAATTAACGGAAAGGACTTTTTGAGCGTAAGGATAAAACTGCGGATAAACTATAAAATTAGATCGAGGGTTTATTAAAGAATACCCATAAAAGTGAATACATCCATTAAGGATTACATGCACTGTTGGTTTTTAGTGGAGAACACCTATAAAGTACCGTCGCTTAAGGATGCAACATCTATAACCGTCTGTTGAAGAAGCATCCATAAACCCTCTGTTAAAAGAAGATCTATAAAGTGTAACATCTGTTAAAGAAGTCCTATAAAAAGACTTTCACATACACACACACACAAATACCATTGCCACAAGTCAATATTTTCAAATAAAAAAAAAACCATCATTACAGGATCATTAGAGCGTTCTCCAAAAAAACAAAAATTAAGAATCTGCAAGTTTATTATTATTTTTCCCCTTTTCATTCTAGAAGTGAACTGATATAGTGAGAAGGCGAATTAGTGCGATCGCGAAAAGAGAGTGAAAGTGAGTGCTCGCGTCGAGAGAGAGAAAGGCAGAGAAATAAAAGAGAGATCCTTATCTCACATTAATTTGGGGGGCTGCTTAAAAAAAGGGTTTAAAAAAGGGTTTAAAAAGGGTCAAAAAAAGGGTTTAAAAAAGGGTTTAAAAATGGGTCAAAATGGGTTTAAAAAAGGGTTTAGTAGGGCTTAAAAAAATTTCTAGAATGGTTTAAAGTAGGGACGGTTTTCTCAAAAAGGATTTTCATAAATAGGGTTTTTAAAAAAATGGTTTTAATATTGGGGGTTGAACAGTTTTAATAAAAAGGGTTTTGAAAGTAGGGTTTTAATATTCGAGGGTTTAGTAGGATTTTTATAGAGAGGGTTAAGTAGGGTTTTAATAGAAAGGGTTAAAATAGAGTTTTCATAGAATTTTGTTTTGATAAAAACACTACTTTTAAAAAAATGTTTTTTAAAATCAATTTTTAAGAAATATTTTTTTAAAAAAAGAAAAAGAAGAAGAAGAGTGAGAAAAAAAGAAAGTGTTTTGTGTACATGGAAGATGTTTTTAGATGATAAGATAAAAAATCAGCAAAAAAGAAGAGAAATGTAGAATTATGTATGTGCAGTGTATCGAAACTTGAGTGAATTTAAAAAAAAAGAAAAGGAAAGAGATTAATTTTCGAGAAAAAGAAAAAAGAAGAAAAAGAAGAAGAAGAAGAAAAAAGAAGTGGTTCATATACCACAAGCAGGGAAGATGCTGCTTCACGAGAGTCTTGTGCCTCTGACACTCTTGGTGGTCGTATATCGTCCGATGACATTGCACGGACGCAGGGTCGCGCCGCTTATGGAAGACGATTGGGCGAGGAGGCCACATCGCGCTACCGGTGAGTGACCACGTTTTATTCTCCCTCTCTCTCTTGCTCTTGGTTACTTTTCCCGCCCACTCCTACACGACATCAACATCTAATTCTTGATTTTCATCCAAATTATTACCAACTAACATGCAATAGACCGGTATTCATTTGTAATAGCATTCTATAGCGATTTGCTTCTACGAAATGGATGATTTTCTTTTTCTTTTCTTTTCTTTTTTTTTTTGTTTTTACAACATAAACTGTGTGGGATTATTTTTTAAATAATTTGTGGTTAAAGTGCGGTTGTAATTTTGGATTTATTGAGCTTTAGTTCGTGATTTGAAAATCGTTTCTGATTTATTATTGGATTTATCCGTCGGTTTTGATTCATGAATGTAAGATTTATTTTTGAAAAATGTTTATTATGTTTCTTTTGGGTTTGGAGAATTTAGAGACACAAAATTTTATGGAGAGTTGAATAAAAAATTTGTTTGGAATATTTTCTGCAACATTTATTAAAGTATTTTTTTTTATAAAATTTGTTGAAAATTTTTGATGAAATGTTGTTGCGAATACTGTATCAAATGCTGTAGCATTCGATACAGTATTTGCAACAACATTTTTGACAAAAATTGTTGGAAAATTTGATGAAATGTTGTTGTAAATACTGCATCAAATGCTGTAGCATTTGATACAGTATTTCCAACAACATTTGTTGAAGTAATTGATAAAATATTTATTAGAGTATTTGCTACAAAATTTCTTGGAGTATTTGATGTAAAATTTCTTTAAGTATTTGCTGAAATATTTATTGAAGTATTTGGAGAATAAACTACAGCACTTGATGCAGAAGTTGCTACAACATTTGTTGAGGTATTTGCTACAATATTTGTAAAATTATTATTTACAGCATTTAATGGAATATTTGTTGCAACATTTGTTAAAGTATTTGCTACAGTTTTTGTTGGAATATTTACTGCAGTATTTGTTAGAAAATTTGGTGAATTAGGTACAGCGTTTGATATAGTATTTGTAACATTATTTGTTGGAGTAATTGGTCCAATAATTATTGGTGAATTTGGTACAAAATTTCTTGGAATATTTGTAACAACATTTGTTAAAGTATTTAGAGAATAAAGTAAGAAATGTGATACAGTATTTGCTACAAAATTTGTTGAAGTATTTGCTACAATATTTGTTAAATTATTTACTACAACATTTGTTGAAGTATTTAGTACAATATTTATTAGAGTATTTGCAACAACATTTAATGAAATATTTACTGCAACATTTTCTGAAAGTATTTGCTATAATATTTGTTGGAACATTTGGTGCATTATAGGTACAGCATTTCATATAGCATTTGTAACAACATTTGTTGGAGTAATTGCTACAATAATTATTGGGAAATTTGTTACAAAATTTATTATATTGTTTGCAACAACATTTGATAAAGTATTTGGAGAATAAAGTAAGAAAGATACAGTATTTGCTACAACATTTGTTTAAGTATTTCATACAATTTTTGTCAAATTATTTGCCAAAGCATTTGTTGGAGTATTTGTTACAGTATTGTAGCTATTGTTTGAGTATTTAATTCATCTTTTCTTTGTGAATACGATGCAGCATCTGTTAGGAGAGTTGTTAGAGAATTTGCTACAGTATTTGTTTTAGAATTTGTTGTAGTATCTTCTGAAGTATTTTCTGCAATGTTTGTTGTAGTATTTATAGCAGCACTTAGTGAAGTATTTATTGGAGTATTTCATTTAGAATTTTTTGCAGTTTCTTCTGAAGAATTTGTTGTAATCTTTGTTGAAATATTTGGAGAGTAAAGTACAGCACTAGATGCAGTGTTTGTTAAAACACTTTTTGGAGTATTTGGTACAACATTTATTAGAATATTTGTTACAGTATTTGTTGGAATAGTTGCTACAACATTTAATGGCATATTTGCTGCAACATTTGTTGAAGTGTTTGCTACAGTATTTGTTGGAATATTTGCTACAGCATTAGCTCAAACATTTGGTGACTTAGGTACAGCATCACTAAGCACTATAGATACAGTATTTGCTGCAACATTTGTTGAAGTATTAACTACAATATTTGTTAAATTATTTGCTACAGCATTGGTTGCAATATTTGTTGTAACTTTTGGTGCAGCATCTACTACAGTATTTGCTGCAATATTAGTTGCAGCTTTTAGTGCATCATTTGTTAAAGTATCTGTAGTATCTCCTGCAGCATTTGGTGCATTATTTGTTGTAACTTTTAGTGCAGCAATTAGTAAAGTATTTGAAGCTAAATTTGTTGTAGCATTTAGTGATTTGCTGCATTATTTATTGTAGTAATTAGTGGAGTAACTAGTAAAGTATTTGCTTCAATATTTGTTGTAGCATTTATTGCAACAACTATGAAAGTATTTGATGCAATATTTGTTGTAGCATTTATTGTATCAATTGCTGAATTATTTGCTGCAACATTTGGTGCAATATTTTCTGTAGCTTTAAGTGCAGCAACTACTAAAGTACTTGCTACAATATTTGTTGTATTATTGCTGCTTTTAGTGCAGCAACTAAAAAAATATTTTCTGCAATATTTGTTGTAGCATTTAGTGCAGCAACTGTTGTACTATTTGCTGCATTTAGTGCAACAACTGTTGGAGTATTTGCTGCAGGATTTTTTGTAGAAATCGTTGTAGCATCTTCTAAACTATTTGCTGCATTATTCGTCCCAGCAATTAGTGCATCAAATAGTGAACTATTTACAGCAGCATTTCTTCCATTTTTAATCATTTGTTCTACAGCATTCGTTGAAATATTCCCAACAGCATTTACCTTCTTAACATTACCTGAATTATTGAAAAATACCATTTACAGCATCCGCTCTACAATTCAATTCACTCCAAAAAAAAGAAGAAGAAAAAAACTCTTCTACCATATAACGGAAAACAAATTTTCACACAGATCGCAAAAAGGCATTTTCATTCCCAACTCTTTAAGTATATAAACCTTTTTTTCCAATCTCTTTTTTATCTCCCAACACAAACACACACTGTACAATTAACTTGATTTTACCAAGAACGTTTATAAAAATGTAGTACACACGAGTTAGACGAGTGGACAAAAAAGGATTTTGATCAGAAAGTGCGCGCGCTGTTTTTAATGATTTAGGGACATTTTGTTTTGTGAAGGGGGATTTAAAAGGAAGGATGAAAGGAGGCAAAAAAAGGCAAAAAAAAAAAAAAAATTCAACACTGCCTGTTAAGTAAGAAGAGAGCAAAGTGAGCAAGAGAGAAGGCAAAAAACAAGTATATCGCCACCGCGGTTGTTAAGGTCTTTTTAATCGTCAACGGCTATTACTTAATTTGCAGGTTTGAGTAGCTATCATAATCTGTAAATTACATGTCACGAGCTTAGGAATTATAAAACCGTATCCTGTATCCTACCAGGTGTGTTGGTTTTATGATAAAGGGATTAAGCACACATGATGTTATAATTTTTTTTTCCCTTCTCTAAATGTTCTGTTAGCATCCTTGATTTTTCTCGTTCTTTCTTTCTCTTTTTTCTTCATTTTTCCACTTTTTCTTGATTTTTCTATTTCTTTCATTCCTTCTTTCCTTCTTTTTTCTTTTGTTTTTCATTTTTTGCTTCAATCTTTTTTTATTCATTTTTTGCTTTCTTTTTTCATTCATTTCATTCATTCCTTTCTTCCTTTTTTATTATTTTCTTTTTTTCCTTTCTCACTTCTTTATTCTTTCATGGTTCTTTTTTTTTCTTTCATTTAATTTTTCTTCTTTATTCATTTTTATTTATTTCTTTTTTTCTTCTTCCTCTTTTTAATCATTTTTTATTCTTTTTTCATTCTCAATTCTTTACCCCTTTCTCCTTTTTACTTATTTATTCTTTCTCTTTTCTTTATTCTTTAATACTTCTTTTTTTCTTTCATTTATTGGTTCTTCTTTATTCATTTTTATTTATTTCTCTTTTTCTTCTTTCTCATTTTTCATTTCTTTCTTCTTTTTTGTTTTTTATTCATTCTTCTTTATTCTTTACTCTTTTTTCTTTCTTCTTTATTTTCTCATTCTTTTTCTTTCGTTTTTTCTGTTTTTAAATCTTTCCATTATTTTATATTTTTCTTTCTTATTTCATTATTCTTTCTTTCTTCTTTTCAAGTTCTTTTTTTCTTTTTCTTTCATTTATTGAAATGATAAATTCTTTATTCATTTTTATTTATTTCTCTCTCTCTGGTTTCTCCTTTTAATCAGTTTTAATTCTTTTTTTGTTATTCTTTCTTCTTTATTCTTTACTATTTCTTAGTTCTTTATTCTTTATTTTTTCATTTTTTTTCTTTCTTTCTTTAAAAAAAATTTTTTTGTTCAATATTTTTTACCTTTCCTCTTTCTTTTTTTCCATTTAATTTCTTTCTTCTTTTTATTTTTTATTCTTTTTTCTTTCATAGTTCTTTATTCTTTATTTTCTCAGTTTTTTCTTTCTATCTATTCAGTTTTTAAATCTTTCTACTATTTTCTTTATTTCTTTTTTTTTCTTTTTTGTTTTATTGTTTCTTCTTTTTATGCTTATATTTCTTTCTTCTTTCTTTTTTCTTTAATTCCTTTTTCTTTATTTCTTTTAATCATTACTTTTCCTTCCTTTTTTCTTCCTTTTTCATTTTTTTCTTTTTTTATCATTCATATTTCTCATTATTTCTTTATTCTTTTTACTTTCTTTTTCATTTTTATTTCTTTCTTTTTTCTTTTAATTTATTGTTTTCTTAATTTATTTCTTCTGTAATGTCCTTTTCTGTTTTCTTTAATCCTTTCTTCTTTATCTTTCTTCATTCTTTTTTTCTTACTTTCTCATAATAATTTACTTTATTCTTTATTCTTTATTCTTTATTCTTTATTCTTTATTCTTTATTCTTTATTCTTTATTCTTTATTTCTTTATTCTTTATTCTTTATTCTTTATTCTTTATTCTTTATTCTTTATTCTTTATTCTTTATTCTTTATTCTTTATTCTTTATTCTTTATT